CTCCGTGCTCCGAGGGGCTGGCGCGCCGGGGCACTGGCGGGGGCTGGCCCCGTAGGCCTTTCCTGGCCACTGGGGTAGACACGCTGCGTGTGCCGGGCGCAGCCCTTCCATCTGTCGCTTTCCGCGCTGCAGGACGAGCCGATCGCTTTGGATAAGCAGCACTCCAGAGACTCCACAGCCATCACACACTCCTCCTATTCGCTGCCAGCGTCCTCCTACTCCCAGGATCCGGTCTACATCAACGGCAGCTTGAACTACAGTTACCGTGGCTACGGGACCCTCAGCGGCAACCTGCAGCCTCCCACGTCGCTCCAGACAGGAAACCACAGCAGGACGAGCCGATCGCTTTGGATAAGCAGCACTCCAGAGACTCCACAGCCATCACACACTCCTCCTATTCGCTGCCAGCGTCCTCCTACTCCCAGGATCCGGTCTACATCAACGGCAGCTTGAACTACAGTTACCGTGGCTACGGGACCCTCAGCGGCAACCTGCAGCCTCCCACGTCGCTCCAGACAGGAAACCACAGTAACGGTAAGACGGAAACGGGCCGGGCCCTCGGGCTGGCCACTCGCGCCCCCTCGGAATGCCCCGGGGCTCCTCCCCGCCCCGCCCTGGGAAAGAGGAGGCTCTGCTAGGAGGCAGGTGGTTCACGCCAGCCCCTGTCCTTTCGTCCCTCTCCCCGCTGCTCAGCTCTCCCTTCCCTTCTTCCACAGCAAACCAGCTGCCGAAGGCTGGAAGGCAGCGTGCACGAAAGAGTGGGGGAAGGGAATTTAGTTTAACTTGCCCCCCTCCCCTGTTAATAATTAACCCAGGCAGGCACCTGTCACCTCCCTGATTGCCTTGCTGGTATGAGACACCCCATCCCCCAGCCTTCATGTGTCTTTGCCTAGGACGCTGGATGGGACAGGGCTTGCGGCTGTCTGAGAGTTGGGGTCCAATGGAGCATCACTGCTCCCTCTCGTTTTTTCCATCCATGTGCGGAAAAAATAGTTACTCGCCTTCTTCACGATGTGCTGCTCGTCTCTGTTCCGATCAGGTGTGCACGCCGCGTGCATGGCTGCTGGAAAGTTTTTCCCCCAGCTGCTACCTGTCGGGCTGGCTGTGGGGCCCCGAGTGACACCCTAGATATGACCCGGCCACCCCTCCGCTCCTTGCGGCTATTCCGACAGCGGGGAAGGAGGGTGGGTGTGGAGTAGATATGAGCAGCACCTCTCGCACAACAGTTACAAAGGTGAGTAACCGTTTTCTCCTCTCCGAGGGCTTGCTCGGGTCTGTTCCGATCAGGTGAGTCACAAGCCTTAGCCGGGAGGAGAGTCAGAGTGTCGCTGACCCAAGAACTGTGGTACCTTCCCGGGTGCTGCTTAATGGACAACGGTGAAAAAAAAAAAAGCAGACACCAACCATCACCAAGCTGGGTTCCAGCTACCATCTGAGGGCGTAGATCATGGGACAGGGAACCATGACCACCACAGCGATGTGGTTGTGCCCCAGACGATATGTCGACACGAGCCAGCACCAGAGAGGTCGCAGGGAGCCTGGCAAACGAGGCTACGTATGTAGCTGTGAGCCTGAGGCACGTCCTGGCCAGGGTGACGGGAAAGCCGACAAGCGACCACAACAGCTGAGCTAGGCCTGAGAATCGTTGCTCCGGCAGAAGAGCCTGGTGGTCCAGCCCCGCCCGATGAATTCGATCCTTTCCGTGGGCACAAGGGTCAGCGTTCCCCGCTTGAGGAGCAGGCCTGGCCTTTGCAGAGTGGCCCCGTTGAAGGCAACGCGCATCTCCGCCTGTTGGAAGGAGCAGCCCCGCAAGAGCCAGTCGGTCAGGTGGGGCTAGACCTGGACTCCATGGAGGGTGAACGTGCCATGGAAAGCCCGAAAGAGAGAGCCGTGAGCTGAGAACGGGCGCGCCCGCCAGAAAGCAGAGGTACCGCCTGCGCGAGGGTATGGAAGTGGGCCTCCTGGAAGCCAAAGGCAGTTACCAGTGCCCTGGATCCAGGGAAGGGATGCTGGACCCCAAAGAAAGGATCCCTCGAGAGGCACTGGTAGGAGGGAGCGGAATGGGAGAGACTGGCCCATCTGAAGGACACAGCCGTCCGAGGTGACGCCAGCCCCAGCTCGGGGAAGCGGGATAATCAGTGGAGGAGGATCCGGCAATGTCGGTTCTCGACTGTCCCTGCCCGTTACAAGACCGGGGCCGGGATGCCTTGCGACGGGAATACCGAAGGCGATGTGAGAAATCCGTCCTGGTGCAAGGAGGGAAAGGCCCCTGAAAGGCGGCGTGAAGGCCTGGCATTGCGTGGTCCAGGTACGCATGCCCAAGGACTTCCTGGCGTTGCCAGAGTCCTGGATGCTGCGAGGCCATGAACCGGTTCCGCGAAGAGCCAGGCAGCCTGGCATGGCTGGTTCCCTCTCCAGAGTAGCGGCCGCCGTAGAATAAACCGTTCGGTCGAATAAGTCGAGGCGCTTCGTGTCTTGGCCAGGGCAAGGCTGGACGTGATCACTGGCAGGCCCTTTGGGGGCCAGGACGTTGACCATTGGGTCATGCTGCTCGGTTACCTCCTCCGCGTGCAGGTTAAGACCGAGGGCTGCCCTTTCGGAGCGAGTCCTGCAAAGCCCTGTATCCGGGGGGAGGGCCCCTGATGGAAGTGCCCCCCACCGGCTTGTCTGGGGAAGATGACAAAGAGGCCACTGTGGGATTTGTGTCCTGCCCACCCCCTCGTTGGCCCTGGGTTTAGGCCAAGGGGCTTTGCTGGGCCTAAGGGGTGCTGTAGTGGGGGCTCCAGATCTGGTGGGAGGGGGCGGCTAACTGTTGCCTCTGGGGCAGACAGAGGACCAGTGGGCAGCGTGCCCTGGGCCTGGTGGAATACCCACGGTGTCCAGAATTGCCACTGGGGTGGCCATAGGGGTTCGCAACGTCAACTGGCCAAAGAGCATGGATCTGTCCCTCGGGTAATGAGGGAGAACCCGAAGGAGAGGCCGAGGCAGGGCCAAACCTCGGGGTGTGGGATGACGAGGCCTGGCCTGCTCATGGGACCATGGCTGGCGTGGAGATCGTGGGTGTTGCCCAGTGGACAAGCAGTGCTGGGATGGAGACCAGCTCCGGGGTCAAGACTGGGACCGGTGTTGAGAGCAGGGCCGGGGGCGGTGCCGGGAGCCCCGCGGCACAGAATGGTGCCACAGGGAAGCTCCATGCTCTGAAGAGCGGCGCCAAGTCGAGGCTGCGTTCCGCGAAGGGTGGCTCCGAGAGGGATGGTGCCGAGGAGCGCTCCGGGCACGCTGCTGGTGCTCACAGGAGCCAGAATCCAAGTGGCGCCGGGGTCGCCATGGCTGCGAGGTCCCTCAGTGCCGCTCGTGGAGGGAACGGTCGGAGTCCTGTGGCAGGGGCCGCTCCGCCGCCCCCGACGAGGGGCGCTCGGTTGAGTGGCACAAGGACTCCCAGCGGGGAGATGTTTGGCCCGGAACAAGTGGGCCCAGCATAGCCGGCTTCCCCCATGAAGGCTGGCGGGGCCTGGAGGGCTTCTTCCTCGGAGGTGACTGGACCATCTCGATGAGACCCCGAGCAGCCGCAGACGTGTCTGGCGGGGAAGAGGGGCCGTCTGGCTTCGCTTCCGCCCGTGGAGATTCCGAGATGATCGGGCTCGGGACGTGAGAGGAGCTCGACCCCTCCATGCCTCAGGGCCGAAGACCATCGAGGCCTGCACACGTGGAGGCTGGAGGTGCTGCCTGTGCTGACGAGGACTCGGGCGCTCTGGGCGACAGTGCCGAGTGAGACCGATGCCGCGTGGAGATCTTTGGGAGCATAGATTTAAGGCAAGAACGGCAGGGTTTAGAGCCTGGGGCTTTGGCATGCCCCATGTCCTGGCGAGGACACTGGGGAGAAGGGAAAACCCCTCCTCTCTCACACACACACTAATTGTGAACTATTAACTCTTGTCAAACAACGCTAGGGACATGTGGCGTTTGCAGTGCAAGAGCCCCAGTGCCAACAGCTGTCACTGGCAGTAAGAGGGAACAGAGGGCGGCAGGGTCTTATAGGGCATCTCACCGGCACCATGCTGGGGGCTCCACAGCCAACCTGATGGGAAGCAGCTAGGGAAGAATTTTCCAGCAGCCGTGTGTGTGGCGTGCGCACACCTGATTGGAATAGACGTGATGAAGAATAAATTTTGTTCTGTGCAGCGAGGCATGTGCGAATGTGCACCACCAAGAGAAACAGCCGTGGGCGCTCTGCTAATCCACTGGGGGCATTGGAATCTCTCTAAGTAAGTGGCCACACAAGTGCCCAGTCTACAGGGCACCCTGCTGAGCAGGCTGTGGGTGCTGCCGCAGTCTAAAAGCTGGTAAATAAGGCAGGAGCGTCAGTGTGGAGGAGGCCAGGAAAGGAGCAGCAGTGAGTGAGCGCTGGCTGTGAGGTCCAGGAGGCAGTGGAGTGGGTCTGAGTCGCACGGCAAGCCAGCTGGTGGGGAAAGGAAGAACCTGAGGAGAGGGAGAAAAGCAGCCTGATCAGTTAGATCTAATAACAGGACAGCAGGGCAGCGACGGCACAAAACGAGCTCAGTCTAGCTACAGGCATAACGGGCAACAAGACGACTTTCTATAAATACATTAGGAGCAAGAGGAAGACCAAGGGCAGGGTAGGCCCATTGCTCAGTGAGGAGGGAGAAACAATAACAGGAAACTTGAAACGGCAGAGGTGCTTCATGACGTCTTTGTTTCAGTTTTTGTTAAGAAGATGGATGGTGTCAGGATGTCTCCCATAGTGAATGCTAGTAGGAAGGGGGGAGGTTTAGAAGATAAAATAAAAAAAGAACAAGTTAAAAATCACTTAGAAAAGTGAGATGTCTGCAAGTCACCAGGGCCTGAGGAAATGCATCCTAGAACAGTTGAGGAGCTGAGAGAGGAGGTATCTGAGCCTACAGCCCTCATCTTTGAAAGTCAGGGAAGTCGAGAGATTCCAGAAGACTAGAAAAGGGCAAATCTAGTGCCCGTCTATAAACAGGGAAATAAGAACAACCCAGGAAACTACAGACCAGTCGGTTTGTGCCAGGGAAGAGAATGGAGCAGGTAATTAAGGAATTCATGTGCAAACATCTGGAAGAAAGTAAAGTGATAGGTCACAGCCAGTATGGATTTGTAAAGAACAAATCATGTCAAACCAACCTGATTGCTTTCTTTGATAGGATAACAAGTCTTGTGGATAAGGGAGGAGCGGTGGATGTGGTATACCTAGACTTTAGTAAGGCATTTGATACGGTCTCGCGTGACCTTCTTATCTATAAAATAGAGAATACAGCCTAGATGGGGCTACTATAAGGTGGGTGCATAACTGGCTGGATAACCGTTCTCAGAGAGCAGTTATTAACGATTCACTGTCATGCTGGAAGGGCATAACAAGTGGGGTTCTGCAGGGGTCTGTTTTGGGACCGGTTCTGTTCAATATCTAATGATTTAGTTGATGGCATAGAGAGTACAGTTACTAAGTTTGCAGGTGGTACCAAGCTGGGAGGGGCTGCAAGTGTTTTGGGGGATGG